ATCCACGTCGTTGCAAATGGCAAGATCTCATTCCTTTTGATGGCTGCATAATATTCCATTGTGTATATATACCACATCTTTTTTATCCATTCATCTGTCAGTGGACATCTTGGCTCTTTCCACAGTTTGGTTCTTGTGGACATTGCTGCTATAAACATCGGGGTGCATGTACCCCTTCGGATCCCTACATTTGTATCTTTGGGGTAAATACCCGGTAGTAGTGCAATTGCTGGATCATAGGGTAGCTCTATTTTCAACTTTTTGGATGGTAGAGCTTTCATTAACATTGTCCACTTGGTTAAAAGATGAGTGGATGTTTTGGTAAGTGTGTATAGGGGCAAACAATCTTCTTTGTCCCCAGATTCTGATGCAGACTGGCCAGCACCACAGGTTTGGAATATGAAATTAGTGGTTTTTATCTGAAGGGAAGTGGAGATTTTCTAAGGAAGTGAAGCTAGTGAGTAAGCAAAATTGAAAAGAGTTCTTTCATCTCTGCTTCCTTAACATGCTTAACAAAATGTGACTTTCCCTCCCCCCTACCTGCCCATTCTTTCACTACCAAATATTTTTAAAGGGAGTTCTCTCTCTGCCCAGTACTTTCTCTAAACACTGATCTTTCACGTTCATGGGTTTCTTTTCGGCATGTAGGACAGTAACTAAACCATTCTAGAGACTTGGTAAGTATTCTATAATGAAGGACTGAATCCATGTGAAATCAGGTGTCTCCCCAACCACTGCATGGAAATGAGAGCTCTCGTTTCCTGAGACCACTTGCCTTTGACTCTTGCAGGTTTGGACACTGGTCTCTGTCCCTTGATACCTCTCTTTCCTGGATCTCCCTCAGTCCTCCTGACAACTCTGCTGCAGAAGGAGCATGGCCTTGTCTTCCTCATTCTTACTCCTATAAGTGGACGGTGCTGTTCAAGATTCAGTTTTGTTCTTTTTCCACAGAAATCTCTGGCACCCCCAGATTCTAGGCTTCCCTCCACAGAGAAGACTCTCAAATCTGAATCCCATCCATACCTCTTCTGTCACCTCTTATCGCACATTTCTGATGCTTTTTGGACCCTTGGAGATTACACTGACTCTAGACTTAATAACATCACTCCTCCCTCAACGTGGAATTTCCTCTACATTCTCTTCACATCATGTCATATAATCAGCTTCACATGCACAAAAGCTCTCTTTTGGACTCATTCCTCTCCTTGGCTGCCCACAGCTAATAAAATATCAAGCTTTTCTCTTGTATTCATCTTTTCCTTTCTGTTCCTATCACCATAATCTTTATTCAGAAATGTCATGCTTGGGACATGCATGTGGGGAGTCTCCCCGCACATGCCTGCCACCGCCAGATTCATGTCCTAAACCTGAGACTCAAAGTGTCACAGTTCTGCAAAAGGGAAGAAAAAACAAAGTAACAAGTATCCTCGCCATTCCCTCCCTCCTGGCTATGGAATAACCGACCCCAGTTAATTCACTGAATTGATTATTCAAGACCCTTTTTAAAGAAACTTTTTTTTGGCTGTTGTTTCTGAAACATTTTTTATGTAGTAAAGTGCACAGATCTTAGGTATGTACGTTGATAAGTTTTGACAAACATATATAACTATGGAACCAACATAAACCCATCAAGATATAACACATTCCTATCAACTAGAAAGTTCCTTTATGCCCCTTCCAGTCACTCTCCAGCCCCTTGGCCACTGTTTTAATTTTTTCTATCACATAGATTACTTCTGCCTGTTTTTAAATGTCATATGAATGGGGCGCCTGGGTGGCTCAGTCGTTAAGCGTCTGCCTTCGGCTCAGATCATGATCCTGGGGTCCTGGGATTGAGCCCCGCATCGGGCTCCCTGCTCCTCGGGGAGCCTGCTTCTCCCTCTCCCTCTGCCTGTCGCTCTGCCTACTTGTGCTCTCTCTCTCTGTCAAATAAATAAACAAAATCTTTAAAAAAAAATGTCATATGAATGGAATAAATCAATGATTCTTGTGTCTGGATTCTTCACTCATTGTAACGCTTCCGAGATTCATCCATTTTGTTGTTTATATCAGTAGTTCTTTCTTTTTTATTGCCGAATAGCATTGCGTTGTTAATATACCACAGTTTGTTTATCTGTTTTCCTGTGGTATTTGATTTGTTTCCAGTTCGAGGCTAGAATACATAAAGCTGCTCTAAATATTTTTGAACAATGCTCTTTCGTAAGCATATGTTTTATTTCAGTCGGGCAAACCACTAGGAGTGAAATTGCTCACTAAGATCCTTGATATTTTGACCAGATCTACTTCCCTCTTTCTCTCCACCTCCCTCTCTCCATACCCCCCTCCCCCCAACACATACACACACAGATATCCTCACTCACCCCTAATCTGCTCAACTAGATTATAATCTCTTTGAAGATAAGGAAATGTCTTATTTCTCTTTGGATCTCCCACAAGGCTTAGGAGAGTTTTTTAAAATTTATCAGTCACTTGGGAAATATTATTTGATTGAACAATTCAACTACATAAAGAAATCACATGGCCATTTCATTTCATGGTGGTGGAGACGGGGCAAGCCCCAGGACTGAGGTATCCTGAGAGGTCAGCGACTCATGCCCGAGAGGAATCCATAGTTCATTCCCCCTCTCTGCGCGCCCCCCACATTGTAGGCTCACTTAATGCAGCCTTCTTGCCACACGAGCTTGTCACTGCTCTTCCCCGCCAAAGTGAATGAAGAATTCTGTCCTCCGGAGGGTAGTGACCCAGAGTACTGAGCCGGCAGACAAACTGCCTGGATTTGAATCTAGGCTCCAAAACTGACTAGTTGCGTGATTACTTTTTTTTTTTTTTTTAAAGCTACTTACATTTCCTGAGCTTCAGTTTTCTCTTCTATAAATGAGGATAACAGTACTACTTTGTAAGTTTGTTGTGAGCTTTACATCATCATAACTACTATTTTTTTTGAGTGCTTTTTGTTATCTAGGCGCTGTTTTTACACGTGCTAACAATCCTCACAACAGCCCTATGGTGCTACCACTGTAGACACTGAGTCGCAACGAAGTTAAATAACATGTCGATGACCCTACCGCTCGTTTATGGTGGGGTCTGAATTCAAAATCAGGCAGTCTGAGTCAAGAATGTATATACTTAACCCCTGTAATAAACTGCCTCCCACAAGTAAGATGACGTACATGGATGCTGTGCCCAGTACATGTACCTCTTCAGTAAACATCATCTGCTGGTCATCAGCATTATCGCCACCATTCCCGGTTCCCATTTTTTTAAAAAGAAAGCATTTTATAGGTAGCCCAGGCTTTGTTTGCCTTTCACTGAGGTGGTATACATTTCAGTTGGTAGCATAAGGGATTCTTTGTTATGTCAAGTTTTGAGCTCAAGTTCTTTATGTATATTAAAATATAATTCGTATTTTCTCAGGGTGCTGGTTGTGGTGGTACATATGGTCTTTAACAAATATCTGTTTGGATGTGTGTAGACACTTAATAGACACCAGTGAACTGGATTCGTTCTTTAGAGAAGCTTTAAGTGTGTTAGTTTGGGGGCTTCCTCGAATCTGTGGGTAGTGCCTCTGAAAGCTCTTAAAAACATCTTTCCAGGACTTTCTGTTATGAGAATCAGTGGAAATATGAAAATTAGTTGGCAGGCCAGGGGGACAGCAGGAGTGATCAGTGGCACCTGGAGAAGGCTGTCTGAGCACTACAGCTGTGTCTTCGCTTACCCATCCGACACTGCCCACCCATTGACAGTCTCGTCTTCTACGAGGGCCTGTCCCTAACCAGCCTCAGTTTGCCATTGCTGCTTCGTTTCAGGACTCAGCCCCTGCCTCACAAGGGGAAGGACCAGATTTCTTGTAGTCAGCCAAGGTCAAGACGACCACTGAGTCTAGCATTGCGGCCACCGTTTGTCATCGTCAGTCATCCTTAGTGACATGGGAGTAGTTCCTCAGCATGGCTCTAGAAGCTTTAAAGACCTTCTTTCTCATCTTGGCTCTCCATCCTACAACCTCCAGTTATGAGAACAAAGTCATCGGATGTCTTGTTCCATGACTGTTTTGCTTCTTCTCAGTGCTGTGCTTCTGCTTCCCTCGATCATCTTTGGTTAACCTCACGCCAATCCAATGTAGGAGCTGTATCTCTCCCAGCAGAGCGTCACTTCTATTTCTTGATTGCTAGATAACAGGAGAATTTACAATCGTCTGATTGCATTAGCTCTAAACCTGCGTGGGGTAAACAGTTAAATCACCGTGGAGAGAAAATGTGATTTAAAGATACGGAAAATGATTGAAGGTATTATTAAATTCTTTTTTCCTCCTTGTATTAATTTCCAGTGAGTTCTTCATGCCTGGGCTGGTTGATACACACATCCACGCCCCTCAGTATTCTTTTGCTGGGAGTAATGTGGACCTGCCGCTTTTGGACTGGCTGACCATGTACACATTTCCTACAGAACTCAAATTCCAGAACATCGACTTTGCTGAAGAAGTATATACCAGGGTTGTCGTAAGTATCTTGCTTGTCAGTAGTGGTGTGTTATGACCAAATCACCTGTAGACACGTCCATTTCTTGGGGCATATTTTAATTATAAAGCACAGGCAGTTGAGGCTAGAATGGACTGTGGAGACATTTTCAGTTTTTTTCAAAGCCCAAGGAGTGTGTGGACCATCCACCTCATCTACACAAGCTAACCTATAGCAGAGAGAGAACTTGAATCCAAATCCTCAAATTCCCTATCTGGTGGGCTCTCTTGACTCTTGGTCTGTTACTTCTTGTGTTTCGAGTTTCTAAATTTGAGTTTCATGCACGTGTGTGTTCCCTTACTCCTGCCAATCCACAGTGCTGTTCTGGGGACCATATGGAATAGCTGTGTAACCTTTGGAAAGTTCTGTGACTCATTTTCCCCGTCTGTAAAATAAAGTAGAGATCATGATAGTAACTACTTCATAGGATTTTTATGATAAGTTAATATTTGCGAGGTTCTTAGAATAGTGCCTGACACATGGAGCGTTGTATATATTTGCTTTAAAAAACATGCAGGAAATTTAAAAATAAAAGTTAAAATTACAGTTAGAAGGATATCACATTATTTTAGTAGCTTCCCAAGGAGGGAAAATAGGATGGCTCCCTATATAGCAGGGTACGTGGGAACATGATGAGCATTAACACCACTAGAGGGAGCTATGGAGCTAGTTCAAGTCATTGAACAGTGCCATCATTGAACAGTGCCAACCTTCTACTGAAGGCTCTGAGGATGTCCTTACTTCCACTCTCTCAAGGAAATCAGTCCCCTCCTTTCTACTCTAGCCCTATGCCAAGTCCACTCAGCAACCAGAAACAGCTTCTGCAGTGGAGAATACCTTTTGCAAACACTTTCCTATCTGACCACTACCTCTTGTCATGCGGCATACTTAGTTTAAACATTTCTGCATTGTTGTTGGACCCATGGATGGTTTTTCTTCTAAAGCGATGGCTCTGGGATGGTGACAGTTCTGTAAGTCTTACACAGTTACCTAGCCATTCTGCCATTTCCCCTGGTCTTGTATCATTCAAGTCTTGAGGAGTAAAAGTAAGTGCTATCCTTTATATACTTGACTTCCCTAATTGTAAATTCAGTGTAATTGTAGATCTTACCTGTTTAGCATGGATCCACATGACACTAGAAAAACTGAGAAGGACTAACACGGTGCATGAAGTTGCTGGGATATTGTGTTAATGAACTGTGTTAACCACACCAAATCTTTTTATTCTCAAAATTTATTTATACCTCTCATTGTTCTAAAAAGGGTTTGAGATATCTTAAAATAAAATAGTATACAGTGGAAGCAAATGAGTCACAAAAGCGTGGCAAAGGAAAAAAAAAGGGGGAAAGAAAAATAAAACTGAGAGGTAAATGTATACCATGGGGGGCCATGCACTTGTTAGCATTTGTCACAAATTCAGCTTTAAGTTTCTAGCCGCTGACCCAGAGAGGGAAATCAATGATGTAATTTACACTGTAATTGTAACAATGATGTAAATTACACTGTAATTACACTATATGATAAAGAATAAAACATTTGTTAAGGTAAAGCATTTCTATTACTTATACTGATTTTCTTAAAAATTAGTTTCAATAACAGTTCATATAGATACATGCTCTGTTGTCAAAATATATATTATTAAGATGCTATAGTATTTAAAAAAACCCCAAATATATCACTGTTTTATGTTTAGACATTTAGAGTATCTAGAACCATATATCCTCCAGGGAGTACTCCATAAATACTATTTCTTGTATCAGAGAGTTAAGTATTTGATGTCAGTGAGTACAAAATAGATTTTATTCTCGACACATACTTGCATTGCATACGTCCTATGTTTCTGATTATGAGCAGGCAGGCCTGCACACTTTAACAGTTGGATGAGCTGATGATATGGTTGAAATCTGTAGACGTTGAGATTTGTTAACTAGAACCTGCGCCTAGGCTGACAACTGCTCCCGGCAATGCAAAGGGATGTTAAAACAGTAGGTCCAGAGAGATCCAAGCCATTTTTGTTTATTTTATTTTCTCCCTCAGAAAACAGTCCTAGATCTATACTTCAGCAAATGGGCAAATCAAGACCCCAGAGTTCTGCACCGTAGATGACAGTGATCATTTAATGTGCAAATAATTTCAAGTATATATTAGCAAACATCTCCTGAGATTACTGAGAAAAAAAATCCCAGTAAAGCAAGCCTGGATTATCTGCCTTTAAACATTGCAAACTGGGTGAGAGATTACAGTTTCAAATTAGACTGGAATAAACTAAAAAGACTGAAGGTTCAGGAATCTATATGTTATATAGCTTGCAGTCAAGGGATTGGACAATGAGATCCTAGTAAATGTGCCAAGATAAACGAGTTGCAAATATTCTGGGGAATAGGATGAATGTGCTTACTCTATGGGGTTGTCAAAGATTCAGCTGATGAATCCAACTAATTCCAAAAATGTATCAAATCATTAAAGTACAAGGTGAATCGAAAGGGGATAGGCCACTCTTTCCTCCCTATTTCAGCCCAGTGGAAATGCAAATCATCTAATCTGTTAAGCCATTGCTACTGATCTTGAAGTTTGCAGTCATCCTATGTTTGGCATCTATTTTGAGCTTAAAAAGCTTGGTCTCCAAACCCTTCTTGTCAAGAATTGAAGGCTGAGGAAAGATTGAGAAACACAACCCACAGTCTGATGTTGTTCTTGGTAGATTCTTATAAACTGGAAAAATACAAACTCATTACTAACGGAAGAACCCTCTTTAAAGCTTATGAGAAACTAGGGTGGCCTTGGGTCCAGGATGCCCAAATATAGAACAAATGAAGAAGGGAAGCAGCTGTATTTTAGATGTCCTCTTCAGTAAGGTTTTAAAGCCAAACTAATTTCTTTCAATCACATAAGTCTCACACATGTAACTTGTTGGTTAAATGGGTGGAAGTCAGTGGGAACCAGTAAGAGTAGCTTGGGGTTCTTTCCTTTCTCCTCTCCTCTCCTCTCCCTCCTTCCTTTTCTTTTTTCCTCTGTGGTTTTTCCCTGTCCTGTTCTTTAACTATAATTTGAGCAGATTCTTGAACTTTCTAGTTCGTTCCAGTCCAACTTGAAAGTGCAATTTCTCAACTAGTGAAAACACCCCTCCCCTCCCCCGCCCCTTCCCTCGGTTAGAGGAAGGACTTACTTACCATCCATGCCGTGTGGCACTTCCATTGTCCTTCTTGTTAAACAGCCAACACTTTCCATTTTGAGTTCATCTTCAAGCCAAGATTTTAGAAAGGTGTGTAAAATTTTGAGAATTTAGAAAATGTTAGATTACACTTCTGTTTTAATTTTGAGTTTCACTTTACTCTGGTTAGTGTATGCAACCAGACTCATGGCTCCATCTCATGACCCTGAGATCATGACCTGAGTTAAAATCAAGAGTCGGATGCTTAACTGACTGAGCCACCCGGGCCCCCCCCCATTAGATTTTTTTTTTTTTAAATCCAGCTTCCTTCTGGCCTTAGAGATTGCCTCTTTCCTCTGAGATTTTTTTTCCAGATTCCTTTTTCCTCCTTCCCCACTTTTTTATACTAACTTTCCTCCAATGTCTGTTGAACCGTGAACATACATTTCATATTTAAGTGCGATGCTCTGAAATGGTGATTGGAAGTCTGGATGGGGATAACGCTTGTTGGCTAGTGAACTTCATTATAAGGTAAACAGTGAAGGCACTGAACAGCCCTTTCAACTGTGGGCCCCAAATGCCACTGTGAGGATATCTTTCTTCTAGAACCAGTCATCTTCTCTAGGGAAGAGTTCCTCAGTCCTGCTAGGAGTGGTGGGAGTTGCATATGTGGGATTTGGAGGAAAATGTGGGATTTTGGGGAAAATGACCAAGGATCCAGAGGGTCAACCAGATTATCCACTTAAAACTCTTTCCAGTCTCTGCTGAACCTTGCCATTTGGGTGTCTAGTCTCCAAATACTGTTGCAAGTTTCTGCAAGAGCAAATCTCTCCTGCAAGAATCAGATTGGCGTGGTTGGCTGATTTCAACAAGGAGAAGAAGGGTCCTGCCAGGGTTTAATCATCTGTATACAGACTGTCAGCCAATTCTCTATTAGCAGCTGTGTGCTTCTTTCTCTTCTTGCAGAGTCACCTCCAGGTTCTCATCCATGTTTTTTTTTTTTTTTTTGTCTTCCAAGGGGCTGTAGAAATGCTTCCTTTGCTCGTGTCTCTTTCTTCTGGGTTAATACATTTTATACTCCTTTACTGTTAGTTTAGTGGAATTGTGCTAAGGAAGGGAGATAAATACAAGGGACTAATTTGCTGGGTTGAACTAGAAATCTGGCTGAATAATTTTGCCCTCTTGTAGATGGAAAAATCTCATTTACTCATCCCTTGATGCAATAAAGTTTGTATATCCTTAAATAATCCTAAAAACCAAGGAATTAATTAGTATTACATTTTGTGAAGTCTGCAACACGGAATAGTGTGAAATCTAGGAAATCAGAAGCACCAGCTTCTTCTCCAGCTCACACTTTTGGATATAAATACTTTTGCCATTTACCTTAACCGTATTTCATATCAAGATGGCATACCTTTAAATAAAAATATTTTAAAATTAAAAACTAGAATTCTATTTTCATCTTTATTTGCCATGTGACTTTTCTGGGCACACGCGATTCATGGTTTTTGTGATTTATTTTTAGAGGAGAACACTAAAGAATGGAACAACAACAGCTTGTTACTTTGGAACAATTCACACTGACTCATCTCTGCTCCTTGCAGAAATTACAGGTGAGGAAATGAAAGCATGATTTATGGGCACATCAAGCCAAGACAGTCAGACCATGCCCGGCAATGACTTATACATGTGGGCTGTCCTGCCTCTTAATTGCTAGAAATTGAGCGCTGCATTTCTTGCAAGTAATTAGGTGTTTGTGTATGGCCCTTGAATGTTTTTTATTGTGTAAGTAATTTGATTATTTATTTATGGTTTTGGTTCCAGAATGATGTGTACGGGTCTGAATTTTGTGTATTAATTTAGGGCGTTTGGGACCAAGTTTACTAATTCTCACTGTGGCAACAGTTTATTATATTATAATCTGCAGACACATCTTGGCTCTTGGCTAGACTTAGGGCACTGTGCTAGATGCTGGGAACACAATGAAATAGAAAATGACTGTATTAACAGCGGCTGTGCTCTTGCTGGATGCCTGGCTTTGCACAAAGCACTCTCCATGGATTATCTCAGCTCAGCTACAAACAGTCTTTGGAAGTAGGCATTCATGCCCTCATGTTACAGATGGATAAATTGATGCTCAGAGGCCATAACATGCCCAAGTCACACAGCTAGTAAGCAGGTCTGAGACTGGCTTTAGATCAGTAATTCCAAAACTTGGACCTCGCACAGTGCCCAGAACATGGCAGATGCTCAGTAAATACCGTTGGCTGATGCGCTGATACTTCTGCTTGCTGGCCAAGGTAGGTTCTGCCAGAGGCTTAAAGGGTAGCCCTGAAAATATATATTGCTATTTTTGGAGGAGACAGAGAAGACTCAGAATTGGATCATCTGGGAAGAATTCATAGAGGGGGCCTTTAAACAGGGCCCTACAGGAACACAAAATGGGGAGGGAGGAAAATGTGTTCCCCACAGGGGAAATAACATGGACAAAGCTATGGGGACAGGAATATCCATAGTGGATACAGGAAGCAAGGAACAGAGTAGCTGAGCTGGAGGACAGGATTCATTGCACAGTGGGGTGGGAGAGGAGGTTGGGCAGCTGGGATGGTTCAGACCATGGAGAGATTCGAATATGCATCAGAGACTCAAAGATTTTGAGCCAGATGAGGTATGTGATGAAGGTGGTGTTTCAGGTGAGAGTAATCTAATGGCCAGGTATCACAATGAATTACAGGGGAAAGAGAGAGGCAAAAAGACTTTTGTAAGATTCTTATGGCAGAGGCAGAGACATTGTACAAACAGTATCACCCCATGCAGCTTCAACGTTCTAGCTGAAATAAAATTTCTCCGGCACCTCTAATGAGGACCAGGTTCCTTAGCGCTGAGAGCTGCTAGTAGGACTATGTCAAATTCCCCACTGATGATAATATTGGCGTTGCTACGGTTAGGAAAAGTGGCCGTATCTTTTCTAAGCCCTACATGCCAGACACTTTATATACATTATTGGGTATATTCCTCACGACCCTACACATAACAGAGGACACTGGGCACATACAGGGTTAGACCTTAATCAGATATTATCACCATCTTGGGAGTAATCCAAGGAATAGGAGTCAGTGGAAGACCTTGAACTACTTACAGAATTTGGTGTGGTTTTGTTGTCGTCGTTATTGTTCTTAAATGGCGTGATGATCTTTTACATTCTCACTTGTGTTTTCATAATGATTTTAATTTAAATGTGTTTTCTAAAGGCTCGAGAGGGATATATTGTTTGCGGGGGAAAACATGACATCAGATTGTGTTTTTGTGTGCCTCTCACAGATAAATTTGGGCAGCGTGCATTTGTGGGCAAAGTCTGCATGGATATGAATACCACTGTTCCAGAATACAAGGAAACCACTGAGGAATCAGTCAAGGAAACAGAGAGGTACATGCATCTTGATTTGTCTTGTGGGTGGTCCCTCTGAGGCACTGATGGAGTTAGAGATGGGGAGAGAGTGAACCAGGCCGATATGCGCATACGTCACTGTGTGGGTTTGCCCTACTTTATGCAAGTGGTCTGGTCCTAAAGAAAACGTTGCATGTCAATACCATTTTGAAGCCTCTGGGAATTTGTTATAGAGTCCTAGGGTGAATCCCTTTGTGAAATGAAGGATTCTTTTTATAAGTTAATGATTTACCACTTCCCTCTCCTTTATTATAGATGGAGGCTTCTCCTGTAAATTGAACTTGCTTTAAGTGTATGTGGTCTGCGCATCAGATTACTTTTGGTGGCGGGGTCACCCTCTTGCCTGAGATCACGAGCTTTCGTTATGTTCTTTTTATATTACACTGGGATAGTCTACGGATCTCAAAAGTACTTTATCTACATTGCTTTAATGGCTTTTCCATAGTCCCTTGAGGATTTGATTTGACAAGGAATTGCGTTGTATGACATTCGACATCCAAGAGATATAGAAGGACATTCTTTAGATGTAAATCTTCCCCAGGACCTAACCTATCCTGATGCAAGTTTTAGAAGCCCAACTTTCCTACAATTCCAGACCTCCATCACCTTAAATGTGTCCTCTGGAAAGGGTAGCTCAGGAACCACCACCTGCTCACAGAGAGAGTGAAGCATGCACCTTCCTTTTATCGTTGGCCACATGCTGAACTTTTCTATGGATGTGTGTTTGTGGTCATAGTAAACCTTAGTCTCCATTTTATTCTGAAACAAAGGACTACCGGAAGGCAGAAAGCTAGCAAATAAATTTTTTCAGTTGGGGCACAAACAGCTGTTTAATAGGCCCTACGGATACCACCATCCCTGATTGCCACCCCCGTCCGGTTCCTCCCCTCTCCCCCGTCTCCATTTCACAGCCACCTCTGGCCTGTTCCATCAGCCTTACTCCGACATCTGTGCCCATAGAGTTCTATGGCTTCTAAATGCCTCCAGGTGCATAGGATTCCGTGATTCTAATATCCATGGAGTATAACATCCTGCAATATTCCCCCAAATAGAGCTTAAGCCAGTGGAATGGTTGGGTGGTATGGGAATACTCATGAACAGCCCAGCTGATGTTAGAGGATAAAATTGCATTTCCCTGTGATTTTGCACTCTATTTCTCTGGCTGCAAATGAGAAAGCAGAGTAATTACTACTTGTTAATCTTTAATTAGTGGTGGTGAAACATGTATGGCATTAGAAATGTTTGCATGGAAATTAAGACATGTAAGGATCATGTTTTCACCCTTTTAAAAAATCTATTTAAAAATGCCAAGATTTTCTATCTTCCCATTTGTTGCTTTATTTCAGATTTGTGTCAAGAATGCTCCAAAAGAACGTAAGTAAGCTTGTTCCCAGCTTGATTTTGGATTGCTTTTGTGTCATTTGTAAGATTTGCTATTAAGTTGTTTGGTAAAGATTAGTCTGTGTACGTTTGGCTTACTCCATGCATGCAGAAATATCTCCCCAGAGCCTTCAGTTGTTTTTATAGTCGACCCATCAGCTCAGCTCTGTGAGGTCGGGCTTTTTTGTCTCCTTGTTGGTTTCCCCTTCCTCTTCTCTGGAAGCTTCTAATCACACAGGACTGGTCCCTGGGGAGGTGGGAGAGGGCTTCATGGATGTGGACAGATTGGGAGCAACTGGAAGTTGGCTACATCAACATTGGCTCTGGCCTCTTGTACTCCCTGATCTGGTCTGGAGCACAGGTGGTGTCCACCATGATGCCCCAGCCTTTGGCTGCCTTGGTCCCTAACGTGTGGTATGTCACGTGGCCTGCAGGCCCTCGGCCGGCCACTCCTCTTTGCAGTGCCTGGTGTTGGTGAGCCTATGGAGGCAGGGCTGTTTCCTTCCCCAACTCCTAGCAGGTCAATTCGTAGCTCCATTGTACAACCTCTTAGATTGGCAAGCCAGACCCTTCCCTTACCACCTTTTGAGGTCTAATTGGAAACCATGAGAACCCTATTACTTTCAGTCTAGTCTTGGGAGAACTAGGTGGAGCTTTGGGGGTCCTCATGCTCACCACCCCTCTCTTGAGCCTTTCTCCCCTGCTCAGCCTTTACCTTGGGTGACACCAGAGCCAGTACTGCCACCAGATGTCCTGAGGGAGGCCATGGCTGGCACTCCTCCCCAAGATGTAGATGGGGAGTAGACCACCACTTCACTTTGAGTCTCCCCAGAGCAGCCTCCTTTAGAAGTTCTTCTGCTTCCCATTTCTCTTCATGAAGGCCACCCAGTCAAGGCCTTGTCTGAGCCTTCATGTGGATGTGGGACTGGGGCTGTCTGTCCTTGGAGACAGGATCTTCTTCCATTGAACTTGGTGCTACAGAATATTCTCTCTGTTGTCCTCAGCCAAGAGCTGTTTCCATGAAACCCACTACTTCCACCCACTCTTAGAATGGGGGGCTATCCTCCAAAATGAAAGACATAAAATTATCATGTTGTATGATATGCATGTTGGGGTATGCCACACTTTCCTGATATCCATAGTTTCCTTACCAATTTTTTTTTTATTATTATTTCCAGTATTCTAGAGTTAAGCCCATAGTGACACCACGGTTTTCCCTTTCCTGCTCTGACACTTTGTTGGGTAAACTGGGAAACATGGCGAAGACCCATAATTTGCATATTCAGGTGGGTATTTTTCTGCTGTTTGTGCCCCTGTGCAGACCTGCAAGACTTTTCAGTACCCTAAATTCTGGCAGTCATCTCCAATTCTTCTCCTGAGATCTCCTAGAGAAATAGCATCATAGGACAGGAAGGGCTCTTACAGACGTCACCTAAATCCACTTCTTTAATTTCTCAGATAAGAAACTTGAAGTTCCTTTTACCCTCATCTTCTCTGATCAGACTTAGAGAGACGAGGACTTCATACGTAACCAAGCCAGATCAATAACACACTGGTTACCTGTTCTCTGTAGGATACATTTAGTTCGTTTCTTTCCTGCTTCTCTCTTTTATTTGATCCTTTTCTTAGTGTTCTAGTCCTTCATTTTTGGAGGAACCACCTATTATTTGAAAAGCAAAAAGAACCTAGTTTCTCCCTCACAAAAAGGCATTTAAAAGCCCTTTTGTTCTGAGTTTCTTAATTTAAAAATCAGGAACAAAAAAGGATATCTTACTTTGTCATTAAACGGTTGCAATTTAGGAATGAAATGCTTTTTAAAGCTTCCAGCTGGGTTAAAATTGGGAGTTGCAGGCTCTCCTTCCCCCACCCAAGCTTCATTACAGGCTGCGCTAACATTTTCCCTCTTAAGAGTGGACTATCTTATAACCAAGGGCAAGTTAGGGGAAAGGCAGAACACATTGATTCTTTATCAGGGTGGAGGGTATTTTGTTTTGTTTTGTTTTTTTAATAAGATTTATTTTGTTGGGGCTCATTAACTCTTCTCATCACTCCCTCCCCCCTTTTGGGGGACTGTAATATTTGTATTTTTGATTCAATCCCACACAATTGTAGGGGAGGAAAAAGTTTTCTTCGACCTTCTTAGAGTCCCTGGCTGGGTCCGAAAACTAAATTGACGACAACAATAGGAGAAAAGCATACGAATGTATTTAAAATAAGTTTTACATGATAAGGAGGCTTCATAAGGAAATGAAGACCCAAAGAAAGAGAGCATTTCTAGGCCAGATTTGGTGACAAGTGCATAGTCATGGAGGAATAATTGTTTGGATTTTTGGGGGCACCCCTTTGTCTTCAGAGATAAGGATGCTCCTTTCCTCCAAGGATAGGGCGGGCACGCCTCACATAAAAGCTTTATGATCTGTTTCATTCTGACCTTCGGCTATTTTCCTTCAGCTTAAAATATGCAGTATACCACGGTGCCATATTTGGAGCTAGTGTGTCCTGAACTCCATGAACACAAAACAAAATCAAGTATATCCTTGCTGCGGGGGGGGCAGGGGGGTGGTATGCATATGTGCATGTGCATTTAGCATTTACTCAAATTTATCCAAGTGAAAAGAATCATCTGGTTGTCCTTTTTTTCTCTTCAGATGCCCATGCATTTCTTCAGTGGTCTAGAGTTCCTCGAGGCCAGGATAGAGCGCAGCCTCTAGGTGGAACACTCTGTTTTTAGAACATTGCTCTTTTTTTCTCTTATTTCTTTGGCTCACACTACCTCATGGAGGAGGGGAAATGGCATTGCCATTCTTGGAAGTGGCAACTTGCTCATGAGTTTTTTCCTATTATATGTATTCATCACCAGTTGGTCTGGAAGGATTTTTGTTTTAGGCAAGGGCGTGGGGTTTATGGTGTCCTAGAGAAAGGTTGGCATGGGGGCCGGGACTCATTTGTTTTGATTGGACATGATTTTTATGGGCTCTTTTTTTGGTGACAGCAGGATTGTCGAGCCCAGTTATTTTCGAACTGTCTTCTGTGGAAGAAGAACTCATTTGGGAAGTTGCTAACAGGGCCAGAATGAGGACAGGGTTCTAGAGTCCCAATCCTGCTTCTTCCTGAGAAGCAGCTTGTTTATGCCTTTGACATATTGTATCTCTATGAATTTTTATATGAACAACATACTCAAAGCTGAAAGAGTTTGGAAAACTACTCATTTAGCCCAACACTTATATTTGAAAGATGAGACTATAGAGACCCAAAGGAAAGACCTGACTCACTCTACTGAAACATAAGTAGGCTCAGAACTTGAGCTTACATTCATTTCTCCTTGTTCAAATTCCAGTTTTCGTATGAGTGAACCATGCTGTCTGTCCTTTTATGGCCATGAAGCTCTTCTCTTAAACGGCCAATATCAAAAGAGGCAAGTTGCCACAAATAGCTAGGTTCAAGTACTGTCTTCACGTACGTACTTGCTATAGAAAGAATATAACATGGGTTAAGGTTAGGGCTAGAACATTACATATTCATGTAACTATCATGTTCACGTTCATAGTTTCTTTTTCATATAGATGTGATATTATATATAATATGTACAATTGTTTTCAATACAACACATGTAGCATCTTTGTTGTCTTACATAGGCAAGTAGAAACCATCCTTATCATTTTGGGGTAGGAAGTATAATTTCTAATGGTATTTCACATTAGAAAATTGCAAGTCTTATTTATTTTCTTGTAGAGCCATATAAGTGAAACTGTCAATGAAGTTGAAGCTGTGAAGAACTTATTTCCCGAGTATAAAAACTACACAGATGTGTATGATAGAAACAATCTTCTGACAAATAAGGTACATTGCATATCATGACATAATCTGTGTCAAGTAGGGCATATTTATCTACATTTTAAAATCTTAGTAATTGGGGGGCAGTGGGAAAAAAATGAAATAATAAAATAAAATCTCAATGGTAATCTTCAGACTTCTCCAACATGTGTGTATTTCCCAAACTAGAGTAAAGCTCAGAGGATGCTCATGCGTGGGTATATAGTTAAAAATCGGCCTGCAGTTTCGTCCCAGTAAATAAATCTCAAGGCTTCTTTGAGGATGGGAATGTCATTTGGTCCAAAGACATTTTGTCAGTGTCCATTAGAATGTAAATGTGCATTCCCTTGAGTTAGCAGATGCGTTTCTAAGGATCCATTCTGTAAGGAATATGAATAAGAATGTTAATTAATGTGCAAGTTAGGAAATGTCTATCAGTGGGTGATTGTTTAGATTACAGAACATCCATAATTAAAATTGTATCCAGCATTCACAAGAATGATGTATACAGGCTTACAAGGAAGAATGTTAATATGGTATTGTTTGATGTATGTGGGTGCATGCTCATTTAGAAAAAATTTCTGGAGGGGTGCTGGGTGGGGCTCAGGTCACGGTCTCGGGGTCTTGGGATCAAGCCCCGCATCAGGCTCTGCACTGAGTATGGAGCCTGCTTGGGATTCTCTCTCTCCTTTTCCCTCTGCTCCTCCCCACTTATTCACTCTCTCTCTCTCTCTCTCTCTCTCTGTCTCTTAAAAAAAAATAATTATCTGGAATACAAACATTGACTGTTAAATGTGATCCTCCTGAGGGAGAAAACAGGGGACTTTTTACTCTTTATTTTTTTTTTAAAGATTTTATTTATTTATTTGAGAGAGAGAGAGAATGAGAGATAGAGAGCACGAGAGGGGGGAGGGTCAGAGGGAGAAGCAGACTCCCTGCCGAGCAGCGAGCCCGATGCGGGACTCGATCCCGGGACTCCAGGATCATGACCTGAGCCGAAGGCAGTCGCTTAACCAACTGAGCCACCCAGGCGCCCTTTACTCTTTATTTTTAAACACTGTGGTATTGCTTTTAAAAAAAAAAGAGTGTATAATACTTTCATAATTAAATAATTTCACATTAAAATTAATATAGTGAGGAGACACTTCATTACAACAATATACCCCTTGGCCTTGGCCTTCAATGAATTGTACAAACTTCATGGGGAGTTGAACATACTGCAGCAAATAAATTCTTCGGGACTGTGAACAGAAGGCTGAATAGGACTAATTTGAAAGGTTAATACTCTACATAGATCTTGTAAATGCTTCACTGTAATTTTCATCCTTCTCTACATATATTTCCATGTGAATAATAAATTAACCTGCCATTTGCATGTTAATTTTATTTGCACAGAGTTTGGGAAAGTTTTATTTTATTAATAATCCTTGTCACTGAACTGTGCCTACCAAAGGAGAAAGCTATCTGGAAACAGGTTTTGAACTGAAGGAAAAAGAATTTTGAAAGAGTAAAGCCTTTTTTTAATTTTAATTTTTTTCATTTGAGTGGAGTTGACACACAGTGTTACATTGAGTTTCAGGCGTACAACATAGCGATTCAACTTTTCTATGTTACGCTATGCTCACAAGGGTGGCTACCATCTGTCACCATACAACCTATTACCATTGACTCTGTTTCCTAGGATGGGCCTTTTAGTCCCATGACTTATTCGTTCCATCACTGGAAGCCCGTGTCTCCCTCTCCCCTTCCCCCATTTTGTCCCATCCCCCTACACCTTCCCTTCTGGCACCCATGTTTGTTTTCCATGTTTACAGGTCTGATTCTGCTTCTGTTTGTTTGCTTGCTAATTTTTCTTTGTTTTAGATTCCACATATGAGTGAAATCATAGGGTATTTGTCTTTCTCTGTCTGACTTATTTCACTTAGCATAATGCCCTCGAGGTCCATCCATGTTGTTGCAAATGATCTCATGTTTTGTTATTGCTGAGTAATAATACATTGTATGTATACCATGAGAAAGACTTAAATCCTTTTCAGGAAAACCCACAAATATTACCAGGACTAAACAGAGAAGTGTTGTATGTGGGCAGTGCCTGCCTTCTTGGGTCAATTTTATCTTCCAAATTAATGCATATAAAATATTATATTTCCTAATTTTTGTGAAAATGTAAATATAGGTGATAAAACAGTTTATTTGGTTGTGTCAACTATACTCCAATTAAAAAAAGACTTAAAAATAGATAAATAAAGATTATGTTTTATGTATCAAGAGCATCGGGGGGTGCCTGGCTGGCTCAGTCGTTAAGCGTCTGCCTTCGGCTCAGGTCATGGTCCCAGGGTCCTAGGATCGAGCCCCGCATCGGGCTCCCTGCTCCGCAGGGAGCCTGCTTCTCCCTCTCCTTCTGCCCCTGCTTGTGTTCCCTCTCTCGCTGTGTCTCTCTCTGTCAAATAAATAAAATCTTTAAAAAAAAACAAAAACAAAAACAAAAAAACTTGGTTTTTTCTAAAGCAGAGATGAAGGCTGCGTCGTATCTTTGAGCTGGATGGATATCCTATCCTGTAGATCACCTGGACCCTTGTTATTTTATAGAAGAAAAGAAATATTGGCTGAGACTTGTGTAATCCAATGTTTCTACAGGGCTTTTTTTTTTTTTTAAAGATTTTATTTATTTATTTGACAGAGAGAGACACAGCGAGAGAGGGAACACAAGCAGGGGGAGTGGGAGAGGGAGAAGCAGGCTCCTCGCTGAGCAGGGAGCACAACGTGGGGCTCCATCCCAGGACCCTGGGATCATGACCTGAGCCGAAGGCAGATGCTTAACGACTGAGCCACCCAGGTGCCCCCCTACAGGCCTTTTTTGAGGGGTAACTTGTACACAGGGATTTTATACATACACAAGTAATCATAAGTGCTCTTGTGAAGATGCTCACAGATAAGTCACTGCTTCGATCTGTACCTGTAACATCTTGCTGTGAGTCAAGACTAAGGGAAACATTTTTTAAGGGGTAAACTCCACATAGGATACTCTTCTCTCCAGACAGTGATGGCGCATGGGTGCTACCTTTCCACAGAAGAGCTGCAGGTGTTCAAGGAGCGAGGAGCAGCGATCTCGCATTGCCCCAATTCTAACTTATCGTAAGTAGGCAATAACCGGTTGGTCGGTGATGAGCATTTGGGTTGCGAATTAGCAGCCCAAATACCTTTGTTTTCTCAGTCAGGCCTCCAGTGTCCCTCTTCGAGAGTTCTGTCTGACTGGGGCAGGAACCGGACAGACGCACAGAGGCTCACCTGTGCTCGGAGGGGAGAAAAGGCACGCAAAAGAGGATACTTTTTGCAGAGTATGCATTTGAAGAACACAGCATCTCTTCAAATTTCTGCATTTGCCCAAAATGGGACAATAGGAAATATAACAGAAAGAGTTCAAAACCTACAGCATTTCGGGGTTTGCAGCTAAGGACCGCAGGAACGCATACGCCAGGCAGGCCTTCCGGGGAGGGGGTGCTGACTTCGCATGCTCTGTGGTCAGGAGAAGGAGCAGTGCTGCCGTAAGCCGACACCCCACAATATATATCATGCTGCTGGATCCTACAGGATGCCAGTTCACATGGGAGAGACCGTGTCCTGTTGTAATTCCCCAGAATGCAAAGCTGTATTCATAATTAGTTTTTAACCCTTTGCAAGGTCGTAGATCCATAAGTGAGTCAGATGAAAATTATGGCCTGTATTTTCAGAAAAAAGCTCACAGATACAGAAATGTTACATCTAATTTCAGGGAATTCATAGATCCCGTGATACTGATCCATGGATGCTAGGTTAAGAATCCATGCTCCAGGATTCGATACAGAGGGGATCTCATTTCTGGTGCTAATTGATCCAGAATAGAGCTCCTCCCACTTAGAGGCAGGTTGAGATGGCTCATTCATAATATTCATTCAGCGAATTTAGGTTCTGCTAGATTTTAGTGTTTTTTTGAGGATGACTTTGTATCCTCTCTTGTTTTGAGTTCTTGCAGAAGCGGACCATGAGACAATTCATGTACAAGTAGTTTATTTGAAGGTGACCTCTGGAGGTTGGTTGGTCAGACAGAAAAGGGAAGGACATCAGTAAGAGCACATCATCAAGCAGCTTACCATTGTGGGCTCCTGGAGTTTAATTCTTCCAGAAAGCTCAGGGAACCGATGTACAAAACAGACCTCAAAGTCATTCTGCCTCAGGAGTGAGGAAGCGGGGATCGTCATTCCCACACACTGTCAGTTATTTGTGGAGGGCTGCTGGGTGAGGTCAAGAGGTATCAATTCCCTTGAACCCCGGACCTTCCCCAAACAAGGGCAGAGTAGGCTCTGTGATGGGGAAAGAGCCGCGAGGTAGGGTTGGCGGTGCGGGCAGCTGGAAGTCTAGGGAGTTGGCCAGCAAAAAGGGATATGTGTCAGAGGCGGTATAGGAAACGCATGAGAACCACAGAGCTATATTTCTGGTGCGTTTTGAGAGGTTCCAGAGCCTTCTGGTTTTCAGACATAAAGTAGTCACACATGACAGGGAATCTTCCTGTGCATGGCCAGTGACCATAACTATGGTCTAGCGACCCGACGGGGAAAGGATTTAACATCCCGTGGGTTAGTTATACAATATCTAAATTGAAATATGATCCAGCTTTGCAAATTGAGGTTGGAAGTTACATTTCTTCATGGATACGTTTCTGTTTAGATGGTCACGGCTATTCTGGCTCCAACAACTTTGAAAGGTTTATTGCACGTGCACTGGGGATTTGACGATGGTAGTTAACATGCATCTTCAAGGAGACCATGGTGACCTTGGCCTCTTCTCAGACTTCTAAGGAATGCTTTAGTTTTCCCTTGTTTCTCTAGGAAGGCAGCACATCTAGTAAGCTCAGGGTCATAATGTCCAGAATTCAGCCTGGAACGCTCTCTCCTAGCTGCTGCGGTCTTATGAACTGTCCTGACCCATCAGCCTGCACCCCCTTTCCCAGTAATACCCTCTTTCTTTGATTTTGCAAGGCACTACTCATTCAGGGTAACAAAGTATCCCAGACCGAGAGGAAAGACAATGCTTTATAATTTCTACTTCTGAACATAGAAGGATGAGTTTGTTAAACAAAACAAAACAACACTGAAGACCAATAGATTTTTGCATGAATGGCAAGATTGAATTTCTTCATTTATTTTTCCTTATAAATGATCCCATTTTCCTTCTGTTTCTTGCTGCTTTGTACCCTCCTGAGATTAACCTCAACCCAATGAGTAAAGCTCCTTTATGATCGTTTTTTCACTCCGGGACTCAGATGATCTGATTTGGCCAATGTGTTTGTGTCAACATGAGAGCTGTTACGACGGATAACACAATTTTAGTGAAATCACCATCCTTATTGCTGGTGTCCTTTTTTGTTGGAAACACGTGCGTCTCCTCGTCCTGACGTCTCCTCTCTCTACAGGCTCAGCAGCGGCTTTCTCAATGTGCTAGAAGTCCTGAAACATGAAGTGAAAATAGGGCTGGGTACAGGTCAGTATTTTGCTATTTGGACACCATCAAAGTGGTCGAGTAAGTGCATAACTTTATGATGTGACTAATTTTCAGGTAACAGTTTAAAAAATTAGTTTTCTTATCTGGGAGTACTATCTCGAGCTAATAAAATGATGGGTTGGCAGCAGTAAGAAAATGTATGCAAAGAGAGAAGTTTTTATGATGCTAATCTCCTGAAGGCCATTATCCTCACTTACTGTTCAGAGATTGGGTGATAAAAGGTAAGTCCTTCTAAGGTGCTGTAGAGGTTTATTGTTTTTTTGGTTTTGTTGTTGTGGGTTTGTTGGGTTTTTTTTAAACTCCTTGATTTTTCTTCCCCTTTTGTTCTGTCCTTCTGGCTAGGTTTTGATGGTTTGGATTTGTATGGTTTTAGTTTTTGATAACTGTGTCATCACAAATACTGTCTCAAAAGAAAATTAGTTGACCTTGCCATAGGGAGCAGAGATTCAGTCTATGCCAGCAGTGAGAACTTTGAGATATATTAAGAACTTCCTTTGATTTTGAGCAGTGTTGCCCAAAATGAGATTCCAGTTCCCACAGGCAGTCTGTTGTTTGCCGTGTTGAAGGACGTTCTAGGTGGCTGATGAATTAGTGGTGTTTTCCCCCCCCCCGCCCCCCCGCACAATACATTTTAATTGTTTTTCCTGAGTGTGTGCAGTGCTGCTCACTTTGAAAGTACGAGACAGGCCCAAATGTCTAGGCATATCCCCTGTGAACCTTTTATTACTGTGTGTGAATAAACTAAAATTTTTTTTAAATGGGTGTGGGGCACAAGGATTTATTTTCCATTCCTGATGCATTTGTCTTCCTGATACTTATTGCATCATGCATATTGATGATGATGGTTGTCATCATTTTCTGCAATAACTCACGTCTCAGTTACTTTTATACCAGCAGTATTGCTAAGATATACAATAAAACAAAGTGAATTATTATTTTTAAAGAGGTGTGCTAGATTAGATGTTCTCCCCAGTTTTATATGAGCAAAAGAATTATGATTTAAAAAAAGTTCTTATTTAAGGCTTCAATCATTGAGACTGTGGTAATACCTGGATATAGTCACAGGTGTTAAGGTAGTTATTTTACCTTCACAGAAAAGCTTTAATGAATAAGAAAAAACATGGCCAAGAATTTTTTACACACTAGTCCGTTAATGAAAAATTTTATAGACAGCCAAAAATCAGGTAGGTATTGCTTTCCAATTTTCTAGGATTTTGGTCTCCATGATTTAAGTTCATCACATAACTTCCAGTTCTTGACTTTGGGTTGGATAGTGATGGATAAAATATTTAGGTAAAGCTTTGTCACTTATTAGCTGTAAGACTTTGAGCAAATTTCCTTAATTTTCTAAGACTTCATTTCCCTAATTTCTGTAACAATAACAACAGTTATAACTATGTCTATCTTATAAGCTTGTTTTGAGGCTTAAATGAGAAAAAAAATGCATGCAAAATGGTTAGCACATACTTGCACATTGCACTAGTCAATCAAGATTGGTTTAAAGGGAAAGAGCAGTGTTGGTGTATTGATCAAATATGATATATTCACTTATGAATTGGGAGAATGCTGTTGCATTTTACATAGTCTCTGTTGCAATAGCCCCACTATGTTCCACTCTTTTTGAAGCATGACCTTTCTGTATCAACCTGCCCATCCCCTGTAGGCTTCAGAAGATCATTTAACCTCATACTATGGGCAGAGACGCAGGTCCAAAAGTGGTTTTTTCACCCTGTCTATAACAAGTGGAGGCAGATCTGGACTTTCTCAACTATTAGATACGAGAAGCCCACATGAAGCTTAACAAAAATATTGCAAAACAGAAGAAAGTCATATCAAAAGAATGAGGGGTGCCAGGGTGGCTCAGTCAGTTAAGCGTCCAACTCTTGATTTCAGCTTAGGTCATGATCTCAGGGTCCTGAGATCGAGCCTCACATTGGGCTCCATTCTGGGCATGGAGGCTGCTTAAGATTCTCTCTCTCCCTCTGCCCCCCTCCCTACTCATGCACATGTGTGCACTCTCTCTCTCAAAAAAAAAAAAAAAGAGAGAGAGAAGATGAGCTTATCTCTGAAAGTGATCTACTTCAGGATCTAGAAGAAAATCTCAGAAAATTGCCATCACCCTTGGAATACAAGAAGACATGGTACTATGAAAAGACCACAAGTTGTGATGGAAAAAGAAATTTTTTAAGTGAAAGAAGAAAACTGGGGGAAAAAAAGAGTGAGAAGCATGTAGACAATCCTACATGACTGGAGGGAGGGTAAATTTTATAACCACTTTGGAAAACTTTTTGGCTATTTCTTATAAAGTTAAAGATTCATCTACATATGACCCAGTAATTCCATTTTGGGCTATTTACCCTAGAGAAATGAGCACATATGTTTGCAGAAAGAATTGTACATGAATGTTTATACCAGCTGTATTTATAATAGCCCCTAACTGGAAACAATTCAAAATCCCGCAGACAGGGGAATGGATAAGCAAACTGTGGCATATTCATAGAGTGGAGTGCCACTCAGCATTCAAGAAAGTAGGAACCACTGATCTATGCGAAACAAGGGTAAATCTAAAATATTTGGTTAAGTGAAAAAAGCCAGGCACAAAACAGCACATGATGTATGTCTCCAGATGCATGAAACCTAGGGACCAGTAGAGCTAACATTATTGATAGAAATCAGAAAGTGGTTGCCAAGGGTTGGGGATGGGGAGAGGGAGGGGAATTGACTGGAAAGGGCCGAGAGAGAGCTTGCTGGAGCAATGGAAATGTTTAATATCTTGTCTTTCTGAAAGGTAGTTAAATGGCTATGTACAATTATTAGCATTCATCAAACTAGACACCTGAGCATTTTATGTTATCTTAATTATATTTCAGTTTAAAAATAACAAACCGTTTTAGGAAGCTATGAGAAATAGAACTATTGCAGAAAATTAAATCAGTAATGTGGAAAACAACATTGATCAAAGATCAAAGGGGGTGTTTGAGAATGAGCCACATGGAGCATAGAAAGAATAACACCAACACAGGGGGTTTTCCTGACCCAGGATCCAGAACAAATCAAAGAGAAGTTGTGAAGGATAAATCTTTTCTGAGCTTAAGAAAGAACTGTGTATCATATTCAAAGAATTTACCCTGTTCTAGGCTAAATTATAATCGGCAAGATACTGGAATTACAAAGAAAAAGGAAAAAAGTCCCTAAACACTGAGGCAGGGGAAAAAGTCAGTTATCAGTAAAACAATTAAAAACCAGTTTGGTTTAGGGTGTTTTTGCTGGCATGAAAAATAGCAAGAACAAGGAAGAATTTGGAGCCAAATAATTGTTACTCAAGAATATTATATTGGACGAGATTCTCCCTTATGTGCAAAGGCAACAAAATTCTCCGATGTACAAAGTTTTGGAAAATATTCTGCCCATGAACTCTTGGAAAAAATTACTTGAAAATCTACGGCATTCAATGAGTTATGAGACAAAACAATGGGCCAAGGCCTAGGGAAGTGATGGGACAGCATATCAGGGAAGGCTAAGTCAGTTAAAATAGAAATAAGATTTAAAAAGTTGCAAAAGAGTTTAAAAAATGAAAGCAAAACTCAAAAATGTATCTTAAGAGAGCATATGTACAATGTTAAAAGTAACACCTTAAAAAAGTTACCAGGCTATGAACCTTAAACTGTTCTCAAAAAAATAGTCAATAGACAACAACAACAACCACAAAAAATATAAACATAGTCCATTCTCGAAGGGGAGTAAATCGGAGGGGGAGACGAACCATGAGAGACGATGGACTCTGAAAAACAAACTGAGGGTTCTAGAGGAGAGGGTGGTGGGGGGAAAGGTTAGCCTGGTGATGGGTATTAAAGAGGGCACGTTCTGCATGGAGCACTGGGTGTTATGCACAAACAATGAATCATGGAACACTACATCAAAAACTAATGAGGTACTGTATGGTGATTAACATAACAATAAAAAATTTAAAAACCAACAACAAAAAAACATAGTCCATTCTAAAATCTCTCCCTGAAAAATTATCATAAAGAAGTAGCTTTTAATTCCCTAAGTCCTCATCTGGGTTAGAATAGAGCTAGGATGAGTTTTTAAGGGCATAGAACTGTGAGCTTGTTTTAAATCTCATGTTATCCATTATCTTCATAACTATGCAGGCATATTTCTGTGAGAGTTCAGGGAATATCCAGAGATAAGAGGTTTCTTCTCTTAACTTTATTAACCATTTGGTTGCACTGGGTTGAATTGTGTGCACCCCTCCTCACCCCCCACCCCCAAAGATGTCTGCTGAATAATGTAAATGTGACCTTATCTGGAATAAAGGTCTTTGCAGATCTTTACCTTTACATTAAGGTAACGATCTCAAGATGAAGTCATTCTGAATTAGGGCAGGCCCTAAATCCAATGATGAATGTCCCTACAAGACAGAAAATGAACGGCATGTAGACAGAGAGAAGGCCCTTTGACGGCAGGGCGGACACTGTAGCTACATTGCGGTAAGCCAAGGAACTGCAGGAGCCTCCAGAAACTGAAAGCAGCAAGGAAAGATTCTTCCCTAGAACCTTTGTTGGGATCGTGACCTTGCCAACACTTTTAAGACTTCTGCCCTCCAAAACTCTGAAAGAATAGATTTCTACTATTTTAAGCACTGCATTTGTAGTAATTTGTTGTAGCGACCCTAGGAAATGAATACATTTAAAAATCATTTGATACTAATTGCTGGTTTTGAATTCTTTCAACCGTTAGTCTGTGTCTATTCGGTGTCTAGATAAGATCTTTTCTTGGAAGTGTATTACAGACTGAATATCGGTCACCAAAAACCAGAAACCAACCGCATACACCTAATATTCCATTTATCAAATAAGGTTACTGTTGTGGCTTTATTTTATCTACCATAGATGTGGCTGGTGGTTATTCAGCTTCCATGCTTGATGCAATCAGAAGAGCGGTGATGGTTTCCAATATCCTTTTAATTAATAAGATCAACGAGAAAAGCCTCACTCTCAAAGAGGTCTTCAGACTAGCTACTCTTGGAGGCAGCCAAGGTAAGGACCATTTTATCTCCTTCTTGAACAGTGTACAACCACGCCAGTCTGCGTCCTTGGAAGCAGTATGAAGGCTCGCGAGAGTGGCATCAGCGGGCATCCCACATTCACACCCCAATGTTGCATCTCAAATACCATACCCCAAATTTAGTGGGTAATGTTCAGACATGTGGTAGAGGTATCCTTTCTTCAGCAAGTCCCCTGTCTTTGGCAGAGGACACGTTCAACACACAACTATATTAATCACTTTCATGGATATTTGCAACGGTCACATGTACGTGAGTTCCTTAAAATAATCAGTTTTTCCCCCACTGAGTTGAGTAACACGTTCTCTATTGCCCTGAGGGATGATAGTAATGATATTCAAAGTAATAGTAAAAATAATAGCCAAGACTTAACTCTTACCAGGTGAGAGGCACTATGGGTCATGCTTTCTGTGTCCTGAGTTCATCCTTACAGCCACTGCTACTCATCCCCCCTAACCCGCAAGGCACCTGAGAGAGGCGTACACAGTTGTCAAGCCATGGAGTGCCATGATTTGAATCCAGAAAATCTGATGCCAGAGTGCAGGTCCCTACCCTTCCACTGTGATATCTTCCTCTGGAAATCCCAGTTTAAACTATGCATTTTGTTGCTATATTTAAGGATACTAATTAATTACCCAAAGCTCTTTAAAAGGAAGAAGATGTAAAAGTGTAGTTGGTTGATATGTAAATACGGTTCGTCAGCTTTTTCCAGTTCTCACCTGTAACCATAGTTTTAGGGAAAAAATAGAAATCGGTAATTGTCTTGCTTGCAGGCACTTTCGTATTTTGGTGTAATCTGGATGGATGATGGTAAACACAGCATGAAACCTCAGGTAGCGAGTGAGAAATAAAAATATCAAAATAGAGACAGTATAGATCTATATAGAAAGATTTATGATAGATACCTGCGGTCTTAGAAATGGAGGACAATAGAAGCCAAGAGTATCCTGGGAAGAGAAACCTTCTGGCTCTTTGAATGTTCTGGGCTATGATGAATGCCATAAAGAACATTTCTAGCAGAGGTCATACTCTTTGCATTTTCCTAAGTCTTATGGTTTCATTTTTTAAAGTTCCAAGTTTTAAATCATCCGTTTTTTAAGTTCACCATCCCCACCCCTCCCTGTTTGTATTGTTGGCTGACATCTGATTTTCATGGTGCAAATGGATTGTACTTAAGTGCCTTTTTTATTCTAGGCTCCCTGTGAGGTGCTTCGTCAGGATCCTGTATGAGATCGAGCTGGCATGGGGTGCTTACCAAATCATGTCTGTCTTGCTGTGTAGCTTTTAAATCTATTTTCTGGGCCACTGAGCTTACTGTGATGGAATTTCTTCTCCTTAGCTCATGTCTCTGTGAGACTATGAGTGAAATGAGATGAATGGATCGCTGTTTAAATTGTGGCATCTCCCCAGCTTGTCAGAGCCTTTCCATTCACTCTCAAGATCAAGATGTGCATAAATCCCCTTCACAGGGACATCTGCTCCAAAGGCAGCAAAACTGCATTTCCTGAAATGCATCTGAATTGCTTACCAGCCCTACTGGGCCTTTCTGCAATAATCTGAATTTAGACCAATTTACAAATTCGTAAAAGCAATTGTGTCTTTATTTGGTTAGCGCCTGACCAACCTTCCAGGTTCAAACAATTAGCTCACTTAGTTTATATGTACCATCAAAACTCTGGCAAATGAACCTGGTTATCTGACCTGTTAAACACACAACAATTTTATGTTGAATACAGTCATTAAAAACTTATATTTTGTTATGCTTCTTTATCAAAGGCAAAAAATTGTAATTGGCAAAGGAGGAGAGAATGTCCAGTGATTTTCTATTACATTCAGTCCTTCCCACACAATTAGTAGGAGTCACCTAACTGCCTTTAACATTTTCTAATTACTTTTGCACCCCTGTCTTCCTATAAGAATTCTTTAGCTAAAAAATCTTGTTCTTTTCTGAGAATAAAAGAGTTGCCCTTTAAACAATCTTTTAAGAACAAGTCGGATTTCTTAATCAGTACTTGGGGAACTGCCAAAAGGCTGCTGGATATCCATACAGAGAAATAGAACATACCAGATAGTGTCTAACAGAGATACCTGATCCAGTACTTTCATGTTGGACTATATCTTGATGGTGACAGAATTCATTCAACATGTGTAAAAATTCAAATAAATAATGCTGCACTCCAGTTGGCCTTCCTTTTATGCATGCTTCCTTTTGGTAGCTCAGTGTGCACTCAGATTATAGGCTTTAAGGAGCTTTAGATTTACTACTTTTATTGACTAGGAAAGCCAACTACTGCCATCTTCTAAAACTAAATCATAAAAATGACAGATGTTCTTTCCTGACATCCGATATTCATGGAACATGAGTTCTCGCTATGAGATGGATCAAGCCAATAGATAGTATCGACCTATGCCCATTTTAGAAAACCATTCTTCTCTGGCAACCAGAAAGTCTCTGAGGTTACCGAACAATTGGTCTGCTTTCTAAAGCATTGGCACTCTTGAGTTATGAGGACCTATTTACTTTCAGAAGTGAATTTTCTCCATTCAGAGGATTTAAACTAAGAAACTTCGGATGGTTAGGTCTGCATTGGCACAGATGCAAAAGGATACTTATTTCTTATTTATTTGAGGTTCGTTTCACTGCCATGAAAATAGATCCTGTCAGCTGTTTCATAGAACAAAAAGGGCAACGAAAAGAGTTGGAGTGTTGGGGGAGAATAGGAGGGAAAAAGAAGACATTATGTCAATTGTCATGTTTCTTAGAGGGATGAATGGAAATCATAGGCCAGCTGGACTGTGAAGAGCGCAAATAAAGCTGAAATAGACACCATCTGAATTAGAGATCGTGGTGATGAGGGGACCTGTTTTTATTCTCAGATTTTGCTTTCCATGTGCTTATTCTGCTTTCTGTGTGACAATGTTTTAGGATCTCTTAGAATGAGAGAGCTTCTCTGCTTCATGTTAAGATACATTTTTTTTCTAGTAATATGTTGGCAGAATCTGTCCTTGCAAACGGGGACATTTTCACCATCTGATGGCTCCAGATACTGACTGTTTACTAATTTATTCCACCCTGTAGCCCTGGGGCTGGATAAAGAGATTGGAAACTTTGAAGTGGGCAAGGAATTCGATGCCCTTCTGATCAACCCCAAAGCATCTGACTCTCCCATTGACTTGTTTTCTGGGGATTTGGTTGGTGATACGTCTGAAGTAAGTAAAACAAATTTCATCAAAAGGCTTCTTTTTCATGAAGTAGTCACCATAGGAAAAAAAATAGAAATGGAAACATTTTAAGGGAAGACAGGGTTTTCTTAAAAGGGAAAGTAGATCCTTTTCAAATTATTATAATTTGTCAACAAAATGTTAAGAATAATGGTACTGACAAAAACTTGTATTTTGAATATATTTATATATTTGAATGTATTTGACTACAAGAAGCCCATTTCTTTTTCATTAATGGAGGTAGATTTTGCCTCTGAGAAATAAATTTATATGTCTGTGCTTTGCCAACCCCTACTGGCTGTGAATTTACTCTTCTAAATGCACAGAATATTTTTTCTTATTATTACTTTGTTTTGCATTTTAGGCTGTCATCCAGAAGTTCCTCTACCTAGGTAGGTGGATATATGTCTCTGTGCTAAATAAAATCTTTCCTTGTCTCTTTCTTGGGTACAGCTCCCTGTATGTGTGGCCCTGTAGGTTAAACTCTATGCGTGACCATTTCATTTGATGTACTATTTTAACATTCCTCAGCATCAAGCCCATTTAAAGGCACTATTGGAAATGCCCAGGCTCCTCTGGAAGATAAATCCAAAGCTGAGGAATGGCAGGTGCAGGGGAAGAGGCCATCTGTGTCCCTTCCTCCCCCATTCACTCTGTACATCCACCCCAGTCTGCCCTACCATGTTGCATTTGTGATAAGTTTGTGGTGGAGTCTAACCACCCAGGTTTGGGGTGTGTGTGTGTGTGTGTGTGTGTGTGTGTGTGTGTGTGTGTGTGTGTTTAACGTGTACTCACATTTAATTCCATCCACTGAGAGAGAGAAATAAATAGTATGGAAGATTCTACTTTGCCTCCCGCTTGATCGGGGAGCTCTGAGTCCGGGGTGAACTGGAGATGAGAGAGACGCAGGTGCCATTTCTAGAGCTCCTTTCCTGCCGGCCCTCCATCTCACCATGCTGAGTATGATTCTGGGGTGTAAAGATAAGTATTTCCTTTACTCTCGGGGCCGGAAATGCAAACCTCTCCAGCTGAAAGTGCTGCCCACGGAAAGTCAACTCAACTTTCCGTGATTTCTGCCTTCGGTGCAGAATGCAGACCCTAATCCTCCAATTTGATAGAGCACTTTCTCTTGGTCATGTCCCCTTGTCCAGATTATGAACAGTCTGAGAGAAAAAAAGGCAGCTTCTTGTATTTTCCTTCTTAGAAGTGGTATTTGTTTTTAAATCCCTCCTCGTGGCAACTAAACTACTTACTGACATAGGGGCGCCTGGGTGGCTCAGTCACTTGGGTGTGGGACTCTTGGTTCCAGCTCAGATCATGATCTCCCGTCTGGTCAGTCGTGGGATCAAGCCCCGGCTTGGGCTCCACACTTAGTGGGGCATCTGCTTCCCTCTCTGCCCCAACCCTCACTCACACTCACTCTCTCTCTCAAATAAATAAATCTTTTAAAAAAATACCTATTGACATAAAAATACTTTATGAATGATTCCTTCATTTTTCTTTCAGGAGATGACCGAAATATTGAGGAGGTTTATGTGGGTGGAAAGCAGGTGGTCCCCTTTTCAAGCTCAGTGTAAGACCTTCGGCCTCTACGAGTTCTCCTGGGATCACGTGGTTCTGCGTCTCCCTTATGCCCAGGCCAAGTTAGAAAGTCCAAAAATAGTATCTTGTTCTTGGGATGACTATCTCTTTCTGTGTCTAGTTACAGTATTCACTTGACAAATCGTTTGAAGGAAGTCACGCTAATTCCCAACTCTCTGGTTGGGAGGATTCAAAATTTCTCCCTTTTGAGCTGTTTGGATTTACTTTAAGCTCAAACATAAGGGAATGTTATTCCTGGTGGTGTTCTTATTATGAGATTTAAGTCAAATCAATTTCATACTTGGAAATGTGGAGAGAAAAGATATTCCTGTACAGCTAGATATTTTGAGCTAATAAATGTGAAATTCAGAAAATGGAAGATGAACCAGTGAATATATTTTTATGAGGGAGAAAAAGTTAGACTATGAACACACATTGGAAAATCACTTCAGATTATCTTTGAAAATTAGGTACTGAGCATATTAATTTCAGAAGAGAACTTGTTGAATTTCAAAATGTGTTTCTAGATTGACCTTGTGTTCTGGAAATTTGCGCTTAATGGAATTTGCATTTCAGAGACGTGTTATTATTGTGCTTTGCTTTCTTTGGGGATGAAATGTCAGAAATTGAATGCTACATGCTTTCTTAATATAGTTCTGTGCTTCAAAGTGTTTGACAGAGGTTGGGTGTTAAAGATTTAAAGTCTCTTAGGAATATTATTCACATAACTACATGGCACAAATCGTGGTATTTTTGTGTATTTCAGAATCACCTTAATGTATAACTGTGTGATTTATTATTGCTTCAGTGTTATTAGAAAAGAAACAAATTCCATACTCCACCGTTGTGTAGACTGGAGTCTTCATAAACTGGGGCACGTGCTGGGCAGCCAGGAGCTATCAGTACTAAAAGGAAGGGTTTCACGGCAATGTTGTAGTCTCCCCAAGAGGTATGCTGTGGTTGCTGAAAATTTCATCCTCAGATCTCAATCTGGTAGAACTTTAAAATGAAAGACAAACTCAGTTAAAAACATTATTAAAAATCTTTAAACCCTGCTTACTGAAAGCACTCCATTTTTCAATTTTATCCTATTGTCTTTTTAATTCCTAATAATTTTCAGGACATTAGAATTTTAGGATAATGAAAACTATGTACATGTCCCACTTAATGTTTATATTAATAGGACTTAATCTGCACTAGACATCTAGGAACATTACACAAAGCAAAGAGTATTTTTATGCTTCCTAGTACAGTGTGCTTTCCCATAACCTACAATTAAAAGCAAATTGACTTTTTGATAAACTCTGAAGAAGTATTAATGTGAATGTCGTTTAAATACTACAGTTTTCTCATTTAATTTCAAATACTATAAACCAACGTGGAAAAGGAATAGATTTTCTTAATATATCGTAATACTCACCCCTAGGGCTTAAGTGTGACTCCTTATAATTTACCTTAGAGTAGAGAACTTTCTGTAATATAATATAGCTAACTCCGTACTTACAGAGCTAAGAACAAAATTCCCCCTTTTGTACTATAAATTTATCCTCAATTAGTTATGCTAAATCAGCAGTCATTTGCCCACATTTTGTTTTCTGTTTTTCCTGGTGGAAACACTTTTAGATTTGATTGTGTGTACACAACACCTAATGATAGAACACAATTTTGGTCTTATTTTCATTTTTTAAAGAATTTTTCTTATTTGAATATAGTTGACACATAATTTGACCTTATTTAAAACACACAAACAGTTTGTGTTGTGGGATATTAAGTAACTCAGTAAATTCAGCTTCCAGGGGCCAAAGGAACATGGTTACCTGGCGTCTAACCCACAGGAGTGGGCTTAAGAATTTGGATTAGATGTGAGATCATCCCATAGGCAGCAGCTGTATTCCCAGCCTTTACAAGATCCTACATTTGTCCCTTCCTGAAGGATGTACGTGTTGATGTTGAGCATCAGTTTTCATTTAGATGAAAGATTCACATGCAGTGTATATAAACAGGCACGGCCTCAGCCAGAGGAGTGGCCATCTACAACCAGTCTGTTAAACATTACATTTAGCCCTGGGAGTGTGTTAAGACCTGACTATCTTTTCTAGTAAAAATAGAACGTGTTGAAATGTTTACGTGTAGTTCGCTCTCCCTGTGTCTCTTAGAACTTAAGTGTTTTCGTGGCTCCAGGTGCAGCGGTCCTGAATGTTGTTCGGTTTTGTGCAATATTGCAGGCATTGGCCATACATGTGGTCAGATGCTCTACACTTTGAAACGTTGGCTTGGCCTAATGTGGCTTGACTTTCTGAATTGTGGAGAGGCGGTATTTCAAGCCAACCCTATTTGTCACTTTATGTTCAAATATTTTGCTCTCTGACAGGAAAGAAAGAGTGAAGGCTTCTTATCAGCCCCCTCACCTCGCCCTGCACTGTTTGCCTTGGGTTTCATGGTATTTTTAAATGGAATACACTTTAACAGGTAAAAACTGAGTTAATAGTGCTGACAGTCCTCCGTTTAAAAGATATTTTCTACAACAGAACACAAAAGCAGGCTGATCGGCTTAAGTGAATTTAATATCCAAAAGTATTAGGATTAGGGATTAGGACCTGAGAGGTTGGCCTGGTGATCGTAACCTGAGACTGAGACTCTGCGCCCTTTATCAGCTCCTTCTCTGATTTCATTGTCGAAGGTTCCAGAATCCAAGAGAATATCTTGGACCTAGCTCCCTTCATGCCGGGAGGAGGTCTTTCTAAGTTACCATTGTGAGCATTGAACCCCACTGAATCTCTTTTTCACTTCCCTGAGAATTCTGCATGGCAAGGGGAGGAAAGTGGTTGGACACATTCCCATCATGCTTAGCTGATTTTGAACTGTGCCCTTGGGTATCCCTGTTGGCAACTACAGCTGAGATGTCACAGAGGCAATGTATTTTGAATCTTCACTCCCCTCCAGACTCTTCCTATTTTTAATCTTTCCACCTCAGAACTACACATATGGAAAGCTTTCAAGGCAAGCTGGAAGGCACGTTGTATCCATTCCACCTTGTGCATACACGGAAGATATCTAGAACTGGATGCTTCTGTAGCCTAGTGGACATCTTTCCATTGTCCATTTTTTAAAGCTGATGCCACTACTGGACACATTCACACGTCTAAAAGGAGCATTCTGAGTTTTTAAAAAGTACACTAAGAAATGTGTCATGGCAATGTCTTGAGATAATTTTCAAATTACGTGGATTGTTACAAATTTTTAAATTTTCTTTCTTTTTTAAGACTTAGAAGAGATATCTGCAACTTCAGATCTACCTAGCCCCTTTAGGTATGATTTTGGACCCTGACCCTTTTCAGTGTCTCTAAAGGAAAAGTGTAGAAAGAAGTGCACAGATGAACAGACACTACTGGAAAGCCCTGACACTGGACCCCATGCATGTTTTCCCGCCCAGCCTCTCCCTTTCCCGCCCACAGCCCCGAAGGTGAGAGGTCAAGAGCTGAGGGGTTAGTCTGTAAATCTGGTCCAAATTTACGGAAATGCAAAACTTGAACGGGCCAGTGATGGAACTTAGTGTAAATTCCAAGACGGCTTTCAGTGTCCAGGGGGTGCTTGAGGAACAGATGTCATGGGGCATTGACTTACCTGTTTATTTCCTGTTCAAAAGCCTGTCAGAAAGCATTCTGTATCAAAAACCACCTTACATTGTATGTTAAACTCCTGATTGCTGCCCTTAAGGCTATATATGTGTGTATTCATGGGGACATTTTTATTCAATATTTGTATGATTTGCTTCCTGTTCATGTGCTGAGTGAGCTCCTTTGTGCTTCAGACAAAAATAAATGAGATTTTGTGTTTACATTCTTTTTGTTGTTGTGAGTTCTATCATTCTGACAGAAGGGAGATTAATCTTACAATGAGTTTCTCCTTTTAACATGAATTTTAAAAAATAGAATATTTAGCCGTGGGCCAACATGTTATCTTCCATTTTATGATAGACAATATACATAACTTTAAAAAATTAAGCTCTAACACCAGCCCTTTAGAATCAGATTGTTATTGCTTTTGATTTCAGCATAGTTAAATTTCATATTTTCTAAAGTCACAACCCAGAGTAAGAGATGCACTTTAATATCAAGAATTAGTTCACACAGGACACGTGCATAGCTCAGTCAGTTAAACGTCTGCCTTTGGCTCAGGTCATGATCTTGGGGTCCTGGGATCAAGTCCTCGCATCAGGCTCCCTGCTCAGTGGGGAGTCTGCTTCTCCCTCTGCCCCTCCCCCCGCTCATATTCTTTCTCGAGTGTGCGTGCGCATGCTCTCTCTCAAATAAATAAATAAATAAAATCTTTTAAAAAAGGTAGTAGAAGATTTGGTCTATAAATTCACCTTCAATGTTCTGAGCAACGCACTACGCATCTTTTTTCCCTCCTGAAGAACAACTTAGTCAAAATACCCGGAAGAGAATTCTCAGACGTGTAATGTAGCAAAAATGTGTGCCTAATTTGTAACTGTGGGCACAGAGTTCTGTAGTAGTTAATTAACAGGCATGTGCAAATTATTGCATGGTACTAAATTAGTCATTTAAATAAAATAAGGCTTAGATACAAAAATACTTGCTAGTAGCAAAATAGGACCTGTAGTAGGCTGTTTTAGGACTGCATGCAGAGGCCACTCAGTTAAAGAACAGAACCCCTATGTATTGTCACCAATAGGAGCATGTTTTGGTTTGGGTTTTTTTTTTAAATTTTTTAAAGATTTTATTTATTTATTTGACAGAGAGAGACACAGCGAGAGCAGGAACCCAAGCAGTGGGAGAGGGAGAAGCAGGCTTCCCGCCGAGCAGGGAGCCCTATGCGGGGCTCGATCCCAGGACCCTGGGCTCATGACCTGAGCTGAAGTCAGATGCTTAATGACTGAGCCACCCAGGTGCCCCGGGTTTTTTTTATTAATCCTGTTTTAAAATGGGATAAGAGAAAAAAAATTAAATGGGCTGAGGGAAGTATTCTCTGTTCTTTAAAGTGATAAAACATTCTTTTAGAGTGTAATTAAATTTTTTTCATGAATTTGGACCATCCCCTTTCACCATCAAGCCTGCTTCCACCATCTTTGTAAAATTACATTAGATTTGTCATACTTCTTGGGTTTTCCATGCTTCTATATTGATTGAATCTATATTTCGGGATGGGAAGAGAGGTCGCTAAAAAAATATGGGAGAAACTTTAGTGGGAAATCTTTCCATGGTAACTCAGGAAAAAAAAAAACATTTTTACCTAAACATAAGAAGTGATAAAGAAAATATGAACAGTAAACATGGAGTTTTGCAGGCCCCAATTGAGCCCTCCTCGATTGCCTGGACTCTACCCGCCCTGACAGGGAAATAAGCAAACATTCGTTCCCCATCTGTGGAAAGAGAGCTCAAAGTCATAGTAGAAAAATCCAACATACTAGAAATAAAGTCCCTGGAAAGATTATCATTCATTCTGTTGACAAATATTTGCTTGAAACTGAAACTTGTAGCTTCACTGTGAAATTAATTTCTGTCCTAATCTTGGACTGTCTCCAAATCAGATTTTGTTTTACTTATGTCCGAAAAAGCCACAGCGCATAAGTGAATAATCCGAGGACGAGTTTTACTCTTGTTCTTTAATTGCTAACTTTGCTTCCTAGAGCATTTGAGAGACTTTAAGCAGCTTTGGTGGGGGGGTTTGTTTTTCGTTTTCCCTGCAAAAGTTGATTCCACTGCCACCTG